CAATAATTAAAGAATGAATTATTGTGAAATTGAGTTGTGTCGATCAGCATTATTGAAGACAGAATAATTCACCTCGATAGGTGAAATGTGGTATGATCAGTAATTGGGTAATTTATGCAGTGCAGTAATTTCCAATTAGTTTTATTTGTGAAATATTGGATATATTAAAGTCAGAGGAATATAAGTGTTGATAGTAGTTTTTGATCAGAAGGTTTCCCAACGCAGAGGCAAGTTCAGTACAGTTGGTGATGCTAACGTATATGTAGGTGATATTGACATTGTAGGTACATGCATGTAAATGTTCCGCACCCGAAGGGCCCCGGGTAGTGGGTACATCACATGCAAAGTGCCACATAGTCATGTTTAGAGTCATAAGGGACAAGTCCAAAAGTATTTGGCTTTACCATAATGGAAGTTGATCGAGCAAATAGTCAAGTATGTAGCCTGGATTCAAGAAAGGTTCAAGACTGCTCATAATTGGTAGAAATTTTTACTTAGACATGGATAAAGTCTTTCAGATAGTTCGACTAATGAGAAGTGTCGTTTGGTAAGTTGCATTCTTTTTGTATAAGTCCGTTCAAAGTTCTTGAACGAGTAGAAGAAGTATTCTATCATTTAGCATTACCTCCCGAGTTGGTTAGTATGTGTAATGTTTTTCACGTATCGATGATACGTGTATACGTGAGCGATCCAAATCATGTGCTTTAGCACAATGAGATTTAGATTCAACAAGTTTTAACTTACGAGGAACCGTAGGTATTTGTTTTGGACCAAAAAGTTAATCGGCTAAGGAATTGAGATATTTCCCTCGTTCGTATAAAATAGAATTGCCACGGAGAATAAAATGCCATAAGCTGATGTTAGAGTTCCAGATTTGAAGTTTTAATATATATACTCAGATAATATGTATCCCAGTTCAAGTATTTCCGAGGGCGGAAATAGTTTTAAGGGGGATAGATTGTAATACCCCATATTTTTAGTAAGTCAGTAAATCAGTAGAAGTTATTCAGTAAATTGGTAAAAGTTATTAATAGTTTATAGATGATAAGTAAATTATTTTCAAGATTAAGTTAGTATGGTTTTTACAAGAGAAAATATCACAATCTCAAAGTAATTATGAAAAAAAAAAAAAAAATTCAAAAGCAAAAGAGAGAAATCCGAATTTTTAGAATTTTTGGTTTTACGGTAATTGTTCGTTTTAAGTCCAAATTTGGTTCCGTAAATTTTATTTTTCTTGTTTTTTTTTACCACATTACAAGATAAATATGAAGTATTATTTTTATTTTAAAATTAAGAGCTGAATATTAATAAATGAATAAATAAATAAAGCATTAAATGATATTTTGTCATCATTTTTACTAAAAAACTTTCTAAGTGTTTTTAAATAAATAAAAATGGGGCCAATTTTTATATCAGCTATGGGAGCATTATTATCTCATTAATCAGCATATTTGTCCTATTTTAGAGAGTATTTATGAGCCATCAAAATCATATTTTTATATTAATGCAAGTTAAGTTTTTATATTAATTTCTAAGCAAATTTGGTGAGGAGTTTTATCAACAATGAAGAGCTCTTATGCCTATAAATAGAGGGCCTTAGAATCAGATTTTAGAAGCACTAAAAATTTTATAAATATTCATAGAGCAAGAAATAGTAAGAAACGAGTAGTTACGAGAGGAATCGAGCAATTTTGAGAGAATGTGAATCAAGTTTCATTGCTTTGTTTTCTCAAGATTGGAAGAGGTATGTTATACAACTTTAATATCATCAAGTATAGTTAAGAATTATAAGTGTTTATATGTATTATTAATATGTTGTTATGTTAAAAAATTATAATTTTTATATATATAAGTATATAAAACAAGATTATTTAAAGTTCATGATGTTGCAGCCTATGTTTGTTTGTTTTTTACCAAGCTATTGAGTTCCAAAAATTATGAAAATTTTTATATAAGATAATCATTATGTTGAGAATAATACTGGAAATTTTTAGATTATTCAGAGTTAAAATGAATTTTATAAAAATCTTTTATTAAAGTGTTGTCCAGTGAAAAATCTGTGTAGTAATGATGATTTGTGGTATTGAATTACCCTATCTATTGATATTATTTTGAGTAGAAAATTTTATGGTCAATTCATATATTAGTTAAAAATTTCCAGTTTAAATTTTATATTTATTGGACTTGTTTAAGATGTTATAGAAAATAATGAACATAAGTGAGTAAATCTCGAATTTCAGTAAGACAAACATTATTTGAAAATTCATATCTCACTTTATGGTTATTATTTTTATGAGAAAATTTACAGAATATTTCTTCATTTAGTTGAGAGTTAAATATAAAGTTTTAGAATTTTTAGATAATTGTAGCATGAGATATAAATTTTTAAAGACAAGTATGCAAGTAAATTGAATGTTTTGATATAGTTCAACTTTGAAATAATATATCTCAAGATATGAATATTATTTTAAAGTGAAATTTTTTAAGGTAACTTTATATATATGTTGAGAATACATATGTTAAAGTTAAGATTAAAATGAGGTAAATTGAGTTATGCATATGATTTTAGTTTTTCTCATTATATTAATTAATGTGAAAGTTTGAAGCGTATGAAAATAATTAAGTTTCGGATCAGTTTAAGTATACCAATTTAAATCCGGACTTAGTATGATCTCTAGAGTATTCTTTTATATTCGGATAAGTTATCTGATAGATGTGAGTATCCGAGTATTTTAGTAAGTA